ATTCATTTCTATCAAGACTTCTTGAATCTACGTGTTTTTCTAACATCATGAATGTACATTATAAATGTTATTTGTAAAAGAAAAAAAAAGGAAATTCTACACGTACCTGTGTGTACGTATTGTTATTAAAGTTTTATTCGTAACTCTGTGGAAATATTTAATAGTAAATAATGTTTTATATAAATCATTTAAAACCTAAAACTGAAGAATCAAATATGGTTATTTAAGTGCTGTGCTGTATATAGTCACATTCGACATACCTTACTTAGGCCCCCTTTTCTCGACTTCTTTGTGAACGGTGCACAAAGTAAAACGTGACTGTAAAACAAACACAGTTTAGGCTTAATAATATGCCTGATGCTAATGTTCTATCGTACTCTTATTTCGTCTACCTGTTCTTCTTGTGCTATAAATGGTAACCGACGAACCACAGTCGTTTCGAATGCAAGCTGTTGTCAGATTTACTTTATCCAGGTTTTCGAACCTCTCACGCGGTTGACCGTGTATTGTCTGTTTCACGTGACTGGCTCGAGATCATTTTTCTCCCTCCTCCCTACTACCCAGTCCTATTTGTTCCAGTATTCGCTAGAGGAAAGTATGGAGGACTGTTTCAAGGTGTATCTAAAAAAACAAAAACAAAATCTTGCGAGCCCATGAAACACAAATTAGAACATGATCTATTTAAAGATCGTTTTTTTAAACACATGCTTATACACATAAAAAAACTAGTCTGGTAACACAATTTCGAAAGGGTGTAATGTTTAGTTTGGTCCTTATATCATACAAAAGTTTATAAACCTGAATACATTATTCCACAGATTAGAAGCAGATATAAAAATATAGATACTGTATGGATAGGACAGGTTTAGATCAACATAAATACTCTAACGAAATGCATACAATTATCTACCATTTATCTATTCTAGTATACTCTGACTGATATATATTTATTTTTGTATATATATTTCTATCATGCCTACGAATCTATCTCTCTACCTTTATCACCATATCGATTTTTAATTCATCCATCTATACATGAGTTATCTAACTATAATAAGTGTTCTAAGTTCCTATGTTTATTTATTTATCACTCTATCTGTCCAGAAAAATTATATTTTTCTCAGAATAACAACTAATACTATTTCAAAATAACATTCGATTCGTCGAAACCTAGGGCGGCGGCTTATGTTTTTGTTTTAAAGGTTCATACCGTCACAAACTGTAAGTACTGCCTGGTATTTAAATAGCGTTCATTGAGTAAAGTAATAAAACAATATATCAGCTCTTTGCTTGTTCAGAATATTTACGCTATACGAAGGATATCCCTAATTTTGAACCTTCAGACCAGTGTGTGTGTGTGTTTAAAGTTAAGCACAAAGCTACACAATGGGCTATCTGTGCGGTATCAGCGGTATGTCTGCGGACTTACAAAGCTAGAAACCGGGTTTCCATACCTGTGGCGGGCAGAGCACGGATAGCCCATTGTGTAGCTTTGTGCTTAATTCCAAACAAACGAACAAACAATAATAGTTACGGACAGTTTATAATTTTTTAATCCCTTCAAACTGATATTTTTATCTCAAACCTTTAAGTTTTACCTTCAGTGTACCTTTCTTTTGGAATCAATTGTAGTTTTTTGAGACAAGTTACATCTCAGTAAATTAACTCTGAAAACAAACTCCATCTGTTGTACAAGTTACAAAATAAATTATATGAAACTGTACAGAAATAGTAAGCATGAATTCCAATAGACCAATTCAGAGTGTTAACTTTTTCTTTTGAGTGAAATGCTGAACGTTTCAGCATAATCATCTATTACTCGTATGAGGTTGAATTTTAGCACTAATGGTTAAAATGTATACACTACATTGTATATACGTACATACATATCAAGAATTAATAAGTTGTTGTGAAATAAGTTCTGTATGTGAATTATCAATTATTTCTTGTGTATATTTTGTTTTTTTAACAAATTCAGTCACATATTCTTTTTTATCTCAGAAAATAAATGTGTTTTAGTTGTTTTAACACTACGATTACAAGCCAAGAGACAATCCACGTACCAAAAACACTATATCGTACAGTGTTTAGGTACAAGGCTGAAACAACTAAACAATAAAAACACATAAATGTTGGAGGTATCCCACACTCTATAAAATTTAAAATTCAAAAAAAAACAGTTAAAATGGGATAGAAAAAATGCATCACTTAAAAACAACGTTTCGCCGTTGTTAACGTAACTTCACCAGGTACTCACCACAATTGTACATGACACTTAGGTACACCCAATTGGTGACATCAACCACCTAACCTTGAGATAGCATAAGTATAAACCTACTCCTTGTGTTATATTTATAAAAGGTTTTGTATTCTTTTATTAAAATGACTGCTTTTATTTTACGTTTATTAATGAGAATGAGGGTGAATTATTTTTTCTCAACATCATATTTAGTATGGTTAATGATGCTTTTAAAACTAAGGTATTTAAAAAGGAAAATCATACTGATTTGTACTTGAACTGGTCATCAACTGATCACAAGTGTAAAAAAATAGGGATTATAAAAACGTTATCGGCTATAGCAAAAACTAATTGCAGTTCAAAAGAAGAGCTAGATAAGGAAGTACATTACCTGAAAAATGTACTGGTGAAGAGGAATGATTATCCTATTAATGTGATTAAAATATTTAAGAACTGATAGGTTGCTAGAAGAACAAAAAAAAATAAATCCAGATAATTTGGTTTGTTGTATAATTCCTTATGTACCTAGCTTATCAGTTACAATAAAAAGGCTGTGGAAAGAAACAGAAAAGATGCAGAAACTTCCAGTTGTAGGTAAATCTGTTACTTACCAGGAAAAAAGTTGAATATAATCTTAAGAAAAATGGAATTGACCAACTAATGTTGAGAGAGAAGTAGTTTATAGTGTAGAATTCACGGACTGTAATAATCTCTATATAGGGGAGACTGGTGGACATTTAAGTACTAGAATAGCAGAACATGGACCAACATGTCTACCAACATTTTATAGATACAGAACATTGTAATGAAAATAAAATTGTTAAAATTATTTGTCCAGAACCTAATATTAATAAACTTTAAATAAAATAATCCATTTTAAAAATAAAACACAAGGAGCAGGTTTATACTTATGTGGTTGACGTCAACAATTGGGCGTACTTAAGTATTCAGTACAATTGTGATGAGTATCTGATGATGCCACGTTAACAGTGGCGAAACGTTGCTTTTAAGTAGTGCATTTTTTCTATCCAGCTTTAGCTGTTTTGAATTTTAAATAAAAAACATATTTTCCTCAGTTTTCCACGACTGCTGTTGTGCAGTAATGTGTAATATTTCCATTTTGTAAAAGCTGTTTGTTTGTTTTCTGTAACATCTAAAAAAGGATGA